TTGAAAGCACCGGCTTCCGCAGGGAGGAAACGCAGCCCGCTGCTCGGGGAGAAGCTGTTAGCATGGGTGCACATGGGTGCTGCCTGGGAAGGGTCTCCTCTCGGGGTGTCCTGGGGGGGGACAGACCATCCCTTCGGAGCCGATGGCAGCTGCACTCTGTCCCCGGCAGCACGCCGGGCAGGAACGCTGGGAACGAGCTTTGGAAGCTGCTTCAGTTGTTCCTCAGGGAGCAGAGACAGAAACGAGAGCAACGAGGAGGTCACTCCTTTCCATCCCAAGGGAAGGGATAATTTTTGGCTGGGGGGGTTCCACGCCTCCTCTCGTCTTGTTCCCGGCCGCCGCGGTGGGGAGTCTCCACCCTGCTGCTTGTTGTCTCTGCCAATGCACACGACAACCTGTCTGCTCTGGAAACCCTTCCTCCCCTGCTTTCTGCGGTCCTGCAGCTCCCTGTGGACCTCACCCCTGGCCGGATACGCTGCAGCAAGCGAGAGGTGGTGCTGACGAGGGGAGCGGAGCGGCTGGCCACCCGGGAAGACGGAAGAAAGCTTTATGACTTCTTCAGCTCCTTTGAGGGAATTGGAGGCTTCCAAGACCACTTTGAGTGGTGAGAAGAAGGGCACTGAGGAAGTGGGTTGGGCATTTTCTCCTCTCCTGTTGTTCTCCGAGCTTCCCCATCTGGCATAACTCCTAGTTTTGAGGTCTTTGTTACTTACGTGCTCCCTGCTTTGCCTGTGGGCAGCCTCATGAGGGTCCCACATCTTTCCCCAGGTCCCTATCCACTGGTGTACCTCCTGCTTTTCTCCAAACACCACCCCTAGATTTTGTCCAAACACCCCACTGCAAAATGCTTCGCTTTCATGAGCAGCAGCAGCAGGCAGAGCGACAGGACGGTCTCCGTCCCACTTCTGTGGCTTGCAGAGTTGCCCTGAGCCCGCAGTGCAGCTTGGCCTGCCTTCACCCTAGAGCTGTCGCGCTCTGCCTCCCCTGACTGCTCCTTGTCCCTCTTGCTGTTTCAGGTGGGCCAGAAATCAGTTCTCTTCCCGTGGTGGGAAGCCCCTGTGGATCGATCCCCACGATCCCGGCGTTCACCACATCTTCATCGACGACAACATCCGGCTGGACGATGCGGACACCATTGTTCATCCCCAGGTGGGTGGCTGAAGGCCCCTCCAGCGCCAGCTGCCTGCGCTGGGGGTGTCTACGGTGAGGTCAGGCACGTTTTGTCCCCTTCGCGTGGGCGTGAGCCTGCAAAGGGGGATCAAGGCGTAGCCCCGGTGTCACTGCACCCCACGCGACCGACGTCAGTGGTGAGATCGGCCGTCAGCAGAGAACAGCAAGTGCTG